GGCCTCTGCTGCTGAAAGCAGGTATCTGGTTTGTTTCGGTTCTATAATCGAAACAATGTATAACTCCAGCTCTGAGATCCCGTCGCTGAAAGCAGGTTTCTGGGGTTTTGTTTAGCTTCTATATTTGTTACAATGTTTCAAACTGCAAGCTCAGAGGCCAGCAAGGCAGGCGGGGAATGTTAGATTCCTCCGTCACTGAAGCAAGCAAGCCTCATGTTAGCTTCAAGCTGCCTGGCTGCCGGCCGCCATCTTGGCTGTCAGTTAATTTGCGTATCTTGCTGATTAGCCAATGGGAAGGTAGCAGTCATACGCTAATTACCATGCTTCTCTTTTATTAGATAGGATGTCACCCCAACAAATTCTATAAAAAAGGGGCGGGGGGAGAAATATTCTGGTTCCAGATGTATTTATAAAAAAAGCAAAATGATTTATCTTATTGACAGGTTGAATGTGAGATGTAGGAGAATTAAGGATGACTCCCAAGTCTTTGGCCTGAGTATCTGGAAGAGTGGGATTACCATTAGCTAAGATATGGAAGATGATGGGAAGAGCAGGTTTCTGAGGGAAGACCATGGGATGTCTTATGAGACAGCCAAGTGGAGGTGTCAAATATGCATTTGGGTATTAATGTGAGAAGCCCTAGCATATATTTGGCATTCAATTAATGTATGTTTTCTTCTCCTGTAGGTAAAACACCATTATTATACATCTTAAAGGATGTCTAAATTGGTTTTTTTTTGGACTATTGTTATAATTTAAATCATTAACAAATCATTAATACAGAGAATAGACCATCTATAATAATAAAAGCATAATATGCTAATTAGACCAGAGGACCTTCCAGATGACCTTCCGGATGAAGCAACAGCTTTGAGGGCTGAGGCAGAGGCAGCTGCCATGGATGTGTGGACTGAGCCCCTTGCACAAATTTTGTGCATCAAGCCTCTAGTCCGTAAATAAAATGATGAGAGTGAGCATGTTTTTCTTTAGGACTCTGGCTTCTGTTTATCTTCAGGACTTCTGGTTTCCCTTTGCTTTCCTCTGAACTGGAGAATAATTCTCACCTCATCCTTCATCTCACAATTCCCTATACAGAAGAAATGAGGGAATGTGGCTAAGAATTTAATGAAATCCTGGTGGGAAGTTCTTTCAAGAAGCTTCTTTAGTGAGTAAGCAAGTGGCCATCAAAAGTTTGAAATGAAAAAGAAGAACACATTTCTTACCCAGGAAGCCCAAAGACACAGTTTAAAGGGAGAGGAAAAGATCAAGAAAGAAAATGAACAATTCAACTCTACTCGATAAAGGAGACTTGCAAATTATGAAACAAATAGACAAGTATTAATCTTTTCTGTACGAATCTTGAGTTGTTTAAACTTTAGACGATACAATTTCTGAGAATTAATATTTGTACTATAGGTGTGTGTGTGTGTGTGTGTGTGTGCATGCAAATGTCTGTAAGAGTCCTCAGTTAACTCACATGGATGGGGACCTGG